TGAGAAATGTGTCATTAGGCAATTTCATTACTGTTGGAATACCCTCGAGTGTATTATCATGAGATGTCTGAGCCTGCTGCTACCATGTCATAGCAGTATACTTTTTTTTTTAATAAGTAGATAGAGTATACTCTAAAGTAACAATAAAAATATAGTACAGCAAAGATGTAAATGAGCATCATAGTTGTTTCTTATCAAGTACTATGGGTTGTACAAAATTGTAGGAGCTATGGTTTCATACAACTGGCAGCACAGGTTCATTTACATCACCATTAAAATAGAAGGTGAGTTAACATAATGTACTATCACAGTGGGATGGCTGCGAAGTTAGTAGGCAAAGGGAACTTTTCAGCTCCACTTTAATTTTATGGGACCACCATCACATATGTGATTTATCACTGACTGAAATGCTCTATATCGTGGAGCTCGACCATGCCAAATTTTGAATCCAAGCACACATTATGTTGGTTCAGCGGCAGAGCATTTGCCTAACATGTGCAAGTCCCTGGCTTCAATCCCCAGTACAAAAAACAAAAAATAAACTTATGTCATGGAACAAATTATTTCTTTAAATACTATCAACATTAATCTTCTGTACATCTATAAGATGGAAATATTAATAACTATCTCATAAAATTATCATGAAGACCAATCCTATCATATACGCTAAAAGCTCAGCCAACCTACTTAACAAATAGTGGCCTCTTTTATAATTGTTGCTAATTTTTCTTATTAACCAACATATTGCATCACTAAACTATTATCAAGGAAGTACCAGCTTTATTTCTCATGAAATCCATTGACCATGTGGCTGGGGATGGGTGCAGGCATTGCATGGTAGGGGCTGCATAACTTTCAAGAACTGATAGCTTTCCCTCAGACCATGATGTGCTATTATGTTTTCCTCAGAGTCTATGTTATCTGCTTTGTATCTTATAAGTGAATAAATGAACTTCAGGAGCATACTGGTCAGCATACAAAAGTTTTCAGATGGCTTTTCAAGGACTTGAAAACTCTGCGGCTTTGATTTAAATGTCCCCAAGAGATCTGAAAGCAGATTTTTTCATGTATGTTTAAATATGGTCTGCAAAATTGAGCAAATAATTGGCCCAGTTTAGCCCTTTTGGTTCACGATAGGTGGATTCATGGCAGGAACAACTTCACACCTGCTATCATTGACTAAACCAGCATCAAGTGGCCTTAAGAACTGCACAGACTTCTCCGGAGACTCATGGAAGAAAGTAGCCAGGTGTTAATCTGTGGTCAGTTTGAATAAAAGTTCTAATTTCAGAATCTTGCTGTGAAATCGCTACCAGATTTTGTCTTGCTGCAATCAATGGTCTTGATCCTTGAGTAGTTTTATTAGTTTCGCTCACAAGCTATAATGGATTTGAAATGGCAGTTTGGGAGCTGAGGTCCTGGGACACATGGTTGGTGCGGTCAGCCAAAGTAAAAAGCTCAGTGCAATATGCCTCCCTGGGCTGGCTTCCGCAGAGGACAGAGGTCAAAAGGAAGAGCATCCATGCCCTGCAGGGTGGGCCTTTAGCCATGGTAAGGAAAGAAAACTGAGTATTAAGTCCTGGGACACAACAAAAGTAGGCCTTAACTACTAGAGACCCTTGTATTAAAAGAAAAAATCCTGGCAGAGTCAAAAACCGGGGTGTAGCCTAAGTTAGAGCTTTTTAAAACTGCTTTTGTTGGTTAATCTTGTCTCAGCCGTTTGAAAACACTCTGCAAGAGTCACATTACTTACATTGTCAAGAGTTAACTGCAGATTCACTTTGCCTGTGTGTGTGTGTGTGTGTGTGTGTGTGTGTGTGTGTGTGTGTCTGTGTGTGTGTGTGTCTGTGTGGTGTTTCAGTTGCTCCAAAGCCTCTTCCCCTTATGGCTGTGTTCTGATATAACCTTCATGCCATCCAAGGCAATAAATAGCAAAGGAGTTGGGGTAAATCCAATGATTTTTCCACAGCACCTTTCGTTGTAAGTATGTCAGATTTTAAACAATGAGACTCCATAAACCACATCATCACAGAGTCCTGTTGCTGTCTCTAGGGGTTTCAGAGTTCCAAATGCTTGCCTTTTTGGACGTTGTATTGATGTGGCCGCAGGGACTGGGTCAGAGTGACTAAAACACTACTGGCACTGGATCACCTTGTGGCTGGGGTGAAACGGGGATCTTGTTTTGCAGAGAGGTTGAAGGAGAAGAACTCAGGGGAAAAGTCACAAGACAGGGATGCTCTGTTAGGAACTTAGGACGCACTGACCCATGACCCTCCCAGTCTTCAGACTGCAGAAGCGCCTTGCTGGTCACACATGTGCACAGCCACCTTGGCAGCCTGAACCCCCATGTCCTTGGAAATTCCTAGAAGTGTAAAGACAAAATCAGTTCCAGGATGTTGGCAGGATTTAGTGTGTTACTAAAAATGGGGCCTTGTGGATAGAGACTTCAGAGTTTTAAGTGAAAAAAAGAGTAGAAAATTTATGTAATTAGCAGTGACTCCAGTAACTTCAGTTGTTCTGAAATGGTTCATTACCAAAGATTGAAACAGGGTCACAAGAACGCTACTTCCCAGTGAAGGCGAAGCTATCTCTCTGCAGCCCCTGCTCCTCCCCTGCACCTTAGCCAAGAGTGGCACTTGGGAATACGTCAGGAAACTATTTGTGGGGATTTGGATTTACAAACTTTGTAATGTGTTTCTTAATGCCACAACCCACCTTCACAATGATTCCAAACTCCCTGACTCCTAGCTAACTTTGAGTCCTTTCCCAAACACTAAATAATGGAATGAGCTAGAAGATGGTTTCTTTTCCAAAATGCAGAGGCGGGAGGCTTGGATGAGTACATTCCCTGAGCCTGGTCTGTCTCCAGCCCCCTGGCTGATACCTATTGTGGGTCTGTGTGCGAAGGCAAAGGTCTGGATCGAACCAGGGCTGCAGGGAACGGTTTTCGGTGACAGCTTCCCTTATTCATGGCCATCTTTCTCTCAGCCAAAACTGTGTTTCCTGGTACCTCTCTCGGGGTTGCAAATGAGGAGCAGTTGGATCATTTGATTAGCTTTTTCCCAGAAAAGGGAGCCTCCCATTTCTGTTTACTTCCCAGTGAGTGAAGGAGGAGGCTTAAGTATGGGGCGCCTTCTGGGGCTGCTCCTGCAACACAAACTGTCCCAGAGTAGGCCTGGTTTTCCTAAGTGGATCAGTTTCCCCACGTCAGGTAGACACCTGCTGACCCCGTGTGCCCTCTCTGCTCCCGGGGAGCGTGACTTCAGGTGGCCTTCCTCCAGTTCGCCCTACCAAAAAGCAAACTGTTCTGATTCCTTATAGATCACCTGTCTGGAAGTTTTTGATGTTAAAAAATATGCAACATAAAATTTACTATCTTTACCATTTTTAAGTGTATAGTTCAATAGTGTTAACTATATTCACATTGCTGCATGATAGACCGCTGGACATTGTCATCCTGCAAAACAGAATCCTTCCTCCTTCTCTCCCTTCTTTCCTTCCAGTTCCTGCCTCTGCAGTGCTGAAATCCGAGGTCTCACACATGCTGGGCAAGGGCTCCACCACTGAGCTCTGCCCCACCTGAACCAAAACTGTACGCATACTGAACAAAAACTGTGTGTTCCCTCCATCCCTAGCCCCTGGAAACCATCATCCTATTTTTATTTCTGTGAATTTGACTACTTTAAAGACCTCATATAAATGAAACAATGCAGTATTTATCCTTTGTGACTGGTTTATTTCGCTTTGTGTAATGTCCTCAATTTCATCCATCTTGTAACACGTGACAAGATTCCTTTCTTTTTTAAGGCTGAATACTATTCCATCGGGAGCATATAGCACATTTTATTCATTTATCTCTTGATTGGAGATTTAGGTTGTTTCTACCTTTTTGATATTATGAATAATGCTGCAATAAATGTGAATGTGCAGATGACTCTGAGATCTTGCTTTTGACTGTACAAGTGGAATTGCTGTATCAAATGGTAAATCCACATCAAATTTTGGAAGAAATTTTATATCATTTTGCACAATTTTACATTATCTGGCATATATTTGAAGTTCCATGTACATAGATTTCAGGCGTTGGGTTCCTATCATTGGGTTAACTGTTGATATTCCTATATTCTTTCTGTGCCAACCATCTGTGGCCATGTGACCCTTCTGTCAGGGCCAGTCTCACTGTGCAAAGATCTTTCCCCGCTTTGCCAAGTAAAAGTAAAACATGTACCTTGTTTTTCCATTCTTTGAGGCTACACTGAGTCCTTGCTACCAACAGGAAAGTGTAAGTACTCTGTTCGGTCATTGTCATCTCCCTGGACCTCTGAGGTGTGTGGAGTGCTCACTCTCCTGTGGGAGGTGGACTACACTGGTCTCCAATCAGTGCCAACCTCCTGCACCTGAGACCTTTGTGCCTGTGTCATAGGTGGGCTGGCATCTCTGACTCTCTTCCCTTCATGGATGGTGGTGTATTGAGTGCAGCTTGGTTACCTGCTAGATATTCTGGCAGTGAAGAAAGGACAGAGGTCTACTGGCCACCCACCCAGGCTAAAAGCACTCATCTTTTATAAGAAGACACTGTCTCTTATGCGACGGAAGAGGGAACTGAGGATTGCAGGGTGGCTGCTGGGCTGGCTCCTTTTTCCTGGCTAGAAAACCTGGTAACATGGTCTTTGGTCTAGGACTTATACCTTGGGAAGTTATGTGTCTTCTCTACTCCTCCACCCCAACTTAGATATCCTTCTAGCCATCCCTAATGCAAGCACACACACACACACCCCACAGAGGCTTCAAGAGTTTTTGTCTACTTGAGCCTATGATTTGCTTTCCAATCATTCCATTTCCAGTTGCTGACTTCAATTTTGGTCTTCAGAAAGGAGTAAAATGTAAAATTCCTTAAGATTGACTGCTTTTAAAAAAGTACTCTGAATTTTGTCATGTTATTCTGTATTTACTTATTTATCAAGTTACTTTAGGCATTTATTTATATTTTTTGGATACAGGGTCTTGCTCTCCCTTGAACTCACTATGCAGCACAGACTGGCCTGAAACATATGAATCTCCTGTCTCAGCCTCCCAAGTGCTGGAAATGCAGGCATGCACCCCCACACCCAGCTGTACCTCAGACTACGTGTAAGTAGAGAAGCTCTCAGAACAATCAGACACCCTCCAAACAGCTCTTCTCCCAGTGTGATTTGGAGCAAAAATGTCTTTGCTTTTTATTACCCTCTCTAGACTTTTAAAATATGCAAATACTCCTAACAAGAGTAAGAAATTTGTTGCTAACACTTCATACAACAGTCTGTCAGGCTCACTCTTCTGGGGGAAGAAGATAAGGGAATGATAGAGGCCCACGTGGGAGAAATACACAGAAAAAAGAGTTAAGGAAACATTAACAGATTCCATTTATTTCCCAACTGTTTGGAGGATCAGCTTCGTATAAGTTTGAGCTAGAATTTCATGAGTCTTTTTGTTTCGGCACTGTCTACCTTAGGAAAAATTGAGTGAGCAAGTTAGTCAAATTAGTCTTGACATCCCAATTTTACGTGCTGGTCCCATGTTAGGAAATATTGTATGGGAAAGAGGTGGCCCTGCATGTTTATCTGTTTGTCTCTTGACCTAATTAAGTCCATGTGGATGCCATGTAACTTCAGGGTGTGGGAGCCATTTTTCCCTTTTTAAGGGCATATTGCTTTAACGTGCTGCTTTAATTAGAAAAAGAGCACATCAGCATTTGGACATCTACATAAGGTACAATGAGAGAATTATTTGACCCACAAATTGTTGAGGGAATGTCTGAACTCTAAAGTCATCAGAAAGGTATTTTCTGGTAATATTGGAGACACTTTTGGGTGAAAGAAATAGAAATCAATTTGAGCTAGCTCAAGAAAAATGTGGGAGTGGTATAAATATGGGGGTGTCTCATAGGGCTCAAGAATGGAAATACTGTCTAGCCTGGGGAACTGAGGCATGGGAAATTTGACAGAAAACTAGAGACAAATTCTACCTTTTATTTCTACTGCTCTCAGCACATATATTTTTCTTTTTCTCTTTCACTGAAGACCAACTTTCTCTGTATCTCTGATCACATTGCAGAATACGCCTTAAGATTCCTTCATCAAAATATGCCTTCCCACCAATCCAAAGATTAACTTGCTATTAATTAGTCTGAAGTTTTGGAAGGAGTACCTGAATGACCCTGCTTGGATCTGGGTTTACAGTGTCCTGATGTACTATGGACAAGTGGCCGGCATCCCCTTCTACAAAAGCGACTGCGAGAGGTTCATTGTAGACATCCAAGATACTTTCCCAGAAAAAGGAGCCACACCATGAAGAGTTATCAGTGTCTGTCTGAGAAGAAGCCAGAGTTCTCTGTTTTGTTTCATGCTCACCACAATACCACAGTACCTCAAACTTTGCATAAGTGCCACCAAAGGATGTCTTAGTGTTCAGATGAACTCATGAATGGTCTGGCCAGCTGGGTCTCTCACCCCTGGCCAGATGCTCTTGTTCACTGCTGTCTTACAGTCTTGGTTGTGTTCTGTTCTGTTCGGCACACTACATTCACACCACATTAGGTCTTTCACTAGAGGGCTCATTAATGGCATGCCTCTTATTCTCAAAAGTGTCCTGGTTTTTATAAACTATATGTTCTATCTGTCCCGAAAGCACAAATTTTACAGTGGTCTAAGGCAGAGATTTTTGTGACTCTTGTTAGATGTTTCCAAACAGTGCAGTTTGTGCTCCAACTCTACATTTTATAAAGTGACAGAGAAATCCAATTTTTAGTTTGGAACCCTAAATTAACCAAAAGGAAGGGTGTTCATTGATTAATACAAGGAAACAAGGAAAGAGCCAGAAGGCAGAGCTTGCTTCAGTAGTCACTTGATCCAGAATTTCAAACATTAGAGACCTCACTCTTTCTCTGTGTTTTGTCTGTTTCTTTCTGTGAAATAACTTTTTTCCCTTGGACTTATCCCCATGAGGCTAAAAACTTTCACACTGCCAGCAACCTTGTGCCTATGTCCTCAAGCTTCACAATCAAAGAATTCAGAACTCCTGTTGAGAAGACCCTTGGAGAGAGCCTGTTGATTATTTGGGGGCAAATGCCCATCACCAGACCAGTCACTGTGGACAGAGGATGAAGAATTTGGGTTAGCAGCGCCACCAGCGTCCTGCTATGACAAAGCACACCAAATGAAGACACTGACCACATAGAATGTCCCTAGCGTTTACTATCAGTCTATTTTATCCAAGACTGAGAAGTGGGGACAGAGCTGAAATAAACAATAGAAAGCCCAACATCCTTCCTTTTCTACAACTAAGGTTTTCTGATGAGGTAAGCTCTTTGCAACCTCTGTTCCCTTCACTGACCCAAGAAGATTCACAGTCTTTGTGGGGGTGAATTTGATCAAGCTACTAATGTTCACTGGGGAGGAGCATGGATAGCTTAGATGTAAGCCTAAGCATATCATTATACACACTAACAAACAACATAGGGGTATACCCTGCACACTAGCTCAATCTAAGAAGTAAGTTCTCTAAGTTTCATCAATCTCATAAACCTATAACTCACATTCTGAAGACTACTCAGTGAGATTCTGGAGAAAGAAGCCTCCCATTCATCTCTCTGTTTCTGTATGTCTCTGTAAGTTCCCTAATGTTTGAGATTCTGTTGGTCCATCTGTCTATCTAATCTATCTATATTCCATACATGTATGTCTGTTTTAGATATATCAAGGTGTTTATAAAATATGTTATCTGCCGAAGAGAAAAGCTGATCTCTGTTCTGATAGAAGCTTGAATAGTTTTTTCTCTATTCATGGAAAAATCATACATTTTTTGGTGTTGTTAATCTTGAGATGTTTTATTTATTAACTTGTGGCCATGCTCGAATGATTCTCAGTGAAGGGTGGCAATTTCAGACCTGCTCCAGAATGCATTGTTGCTGTTTGGGTCTCCATATCCCTAATGGATTGACAACCAGTATGTTGCATTGGCTGATCTTTAGTGTCTTTTCAAGTCTTCCAGTTCTAACTTTCATGAGCATAGAGATAAAGCCAAATTATTTTGCATGTGAGGTCCACCTGGTTTAAAACTCCTTTCATTTCCTTCTTGAGCACATTTGGGAAGATTGAAAAATATAATTAAGATAAAGATTGAATTTTTGACAGTTAAGCCATGAGGTGGATTGCTGAGTGTCCAGAGGTTTTAGAGGGAACAGTATCATAGGTCCATTATGTCTGGAAACTAGTGGCTTGCATGTGTTTGTGGACAATGGGGGATCCCCTCAGCAGGCAGCAGCGAGCACTTATTCTTGAAGAGATTTGCATGTTCTGTACCTGTCTGAACCTCGATCGAAGTTTCCAGTGCCAAGTCCAAAATGAGCCAGCAGACTGAGCCGAAGCACCAGATGGCAAATCTGAGAACCATCCCTGTACTGAGAGATGCACACCAGGTCACGGCTTGTCTAAGACTACACACATTCTGCTGAAACAAAATCGAAAAGAAAAACCTGCACAAAATAAAACAAAACAAAAACAATTTTGCCACTGCTTTTAAATGTATGATGCAAGTTTTATACTATGAAAAGTCCCCACTTAAAAATCTAAGTATTTCTGCTCAGAGGGATAAAATAAAAGAAAACAAAACATAACTCTAACATGGGGCGGTTTATGACAATGGCTCAGGCAGGTCTCACTGCCCTCACTACTCACTGGCCATTTATAACTACATTAATTAGCGTACAGCGGCGCCAGCTCTATTTAGTATTGAAAACAATACTTTTTGTGATTAATTATGTAGGATAGCTACAGTCTCTAATTTTTGTCACCATTCATAGTATTGGCTTTCTACTTTCTTGTAGTTTTCATTTTTAGAAACCCAAATTTTTTGTGAAATTTATACCTATAGACTTTGGAGGATGCTTCTAAGAAATCATTTGAATATTTTAATAACCAAAGATCCCTATGCTTTGCTAATTTCCCAAAGAGAAGCCCAAGTCTGAGACAGAAACTCAACTCTAATTATATCTCGGGTGCCTGGGAGACATCTGTAGCTTAGATGAGTAAATGTGAAAAGAGAAACAATCAAGAGCAATTAGCTGGTCCTTGGCTAACTGTCAGCAATGTATCCACTGTGAACCCCAAGCTCCCCTGGCTGTGGGCACCACTCCCCCTCCTCCCTTTTCTCCCCTCAGCCACATTTCCAGTCAGAAAAGCAGAGAGGGCCCTGATTGGCATTGTTGCTCTGGAATTGGCTCTGCAGTCTTTTCCAGGGACTTCTCAAAAGTCTGCCCTTTCCTCTGGTCAGCACGGTGTTTTTTCCCAACCTCCCCCTTTAAAAACTATTTTTCTGGAAAACTACTTGGCATCATATTTCTCTTCTTTTGTCTATGGCAGCTTCAAATTCTTATTGGCCCCCACATAATGCTACTGGCCTAGTGCGAGAGTGCAAGGGATTGTACTTCTTTTTAAACTTGCTACAATTCTACTGCATATAGGATCCAAAACAGCTCCTCCCCCAGTCTCACCCCACTAGGCTCTCCACCATCCCATCATACCTGGTGGAATCATTCACACTGGATGGTAGACCAGTGATATTCTCGGGAGACCTCACAAGATCTCTAGCTTTGAAAAGAGTGCCATGTAGTAGCGAGAGCCTGATTGGCCAGTTGTTTCAGGGTATTTCACTACTGGATCTTGGAGGGTCAATCAGGATTTTGAGGGCCAATCAGGATGGGCAACCCTGACTTCTACCATCTGAGGATTTTGAGCAAGGTCAACATCAGAGTTTCATTTCTGCCATTCCCATCTTGGCCCTGATGCAGGATATTTTTGTGACACCTATTTGTACATTGAGAAGATGATTTCCTATCTCCTGGTTCTGTTTCTCTGGTGTGTTTAGGTCAGAAAACTGGACAAGTGTGTTAAATTCCTTCCACTGTCCAAAAAGCCTCTTCAAGATGAGTTTTTTTCTGTTCTAGGAACTGGACTGCTCCTTGGCAGAGGTGAGGCCTGCAGTGAGTGGGAAACACCAGCCAGGGCTTGTCTCCACCTCATTGGGCTGTCTAGCCCAGCTTTGTTACCAATTGAGTGCTTTTTCTTTTCTCTTCTTTCCTTTTGAGACACGATCTCACAATGTAGTTTAGGCTGGCCTTTAACTTGTTTATGCAGCCCATGCTGGCCTCAAATTCACAGTGATCCTCCCACCTTAGCCTCCTGCGTGCTGGGATTACCGGCGTGCACCACCAAACCTGGCTGCAGTGCACACTCTCGTCTCTACTTATGGACCTTCCTGTCTAGACTCAGTTACTTCTCAGCTTAGTACAAAAAATAAGGGCACTAGGGAACCCTTATGGGAGTTTCCAGAGAAGACCATAAGGACATAAACAGTTAATTAAGTGAACTAGAATTATGTGGTAATTTGAGAAAAAGATTCAGAACTATATAGGAATCTTATTCTTTTCCCAGGGTGTTCCATTCAGTGTGAAGCAGGAAGGCCTTGAAAATGTTTCTGTACTACCAGGAGCCTTCTGAAAGTTTTGCTTTGTCTTTACAAATGGCATTTTCCAAGAATCAGTTTCATGTCAAGGACTGTGAAAGGGAATTATTTTTTGGTGCACTTTGAAGTCACTATGAGTTTCCTTAGAATATCTACTCAAAGGCTGCTAGAATTTCATTTACACAAGTGTTCTTGTGACCATTGAAGGAAGGTAGGCACTTGAAGGAGAATTAGGAATTTTCCTAAAGTCTTCCAGATGCAAGAGATTAGACCTACAGGAAAGATAAGAGATTTTATAGAAGGAGGCAGGAGCACTCTTAGTGACTTAAAGATCTCATCCTAGGCCAAGTAGTTCTCCATATTAGAATATCCTAGGGAATTACCACAAAATTACAATCCTGGGGTTCCTTCCAAATCATTCAAATTAGACACTACCGGGATGGGCCAGTGGGTTAGCATAGTCAGAATTGCCCAGGTAATCCTGGTGTGCAGCTGTGACTGAGAAACAGTGTCCTAAGCTAAGCACACATCAGTCATCTGTGCCTTGCCTTGTGAGTAGCCACAGGTGGTGAGTGGGGGTTTATACACTTTTTTTCCCTAATGAATATAAAGCTTTGCTACTTAAAGGGTGGTCCCTGCACCAGCTGCATCAGTGTCACCTGGGATCTCATTCAAAAATGCACAATTTTGGGCACCCCTCAAGATCTATTGAATCAGAAATGTAGTGGGGAAATGTTTCTTAAATTTTAATGTACAAAGGAAGCACCTGGGATCTTGTTAAAATGCAGATTCTGTTTCAGTAGGTCTGGGGTGTAGTCCAAGATCCTGCATTTCTAACAAGCTCCCAAATGATTTCAGCGCTGCAGATCCATGGACCACACTTTGAGCAGCAGAAGACTTGGAACAGCAACAAATGGAAGTTACTCAAAAAGCAGGGCTTCAGCTTTGAACTGCTCTGTAGGAACAGTGCTGAAAAGGTTGCATGGAGTATCTTCAGGGGCATAAGGACAGTAAGAATTTACAGGAATGACTGCTAGTCCAGAGCAGCCAATAATAATCACCACAATCAGGAGATGCTATTGCTGGGAACTTCCAGGAACTTTCATTTGGATCTGGCACCAAACAAAACTACGAAGGGAGAATCAAGTTAACAAAACTACTTGGTAAGTTGGAAACTTCTTTGCACCCCGGCCCAAGTCACACTTGAGAATAAAGAAATTGACCATTTTTATCACTTTATCTGGAGGAGGGGACCAGCCCTTCCATGTGCTTCGTACTGAAATTTAAAAGTAATCAGTTCTCAAGTTTCCTCATGGGCTTATCTATCCCTTCACTCTACCACATGATAATTGAGTATTATTCTGTACTTTCCTCGGATATAGCTTTGAATGTCTAGAAACTGAGTAGGGCTCCAGCCAGCAGTTGAGTACTAGAATTGCAACCTGATCCTCATTGGAGAGGACAGTGTGACTTGAGAGAAGATAGTTATACTGGCATGGTGCTCATAAACATCTTAGCTATTATATAAATCCCACGCCTAGTGTCAATTGATGTCAATTTCAGAAATAAGACCATATATGATTTATTTGGAATCAGGCACTGGAAAAGCCAATGCTATTACTGGAAGGAATTTGACACCACTGAGCTTCTCTGGGATAAAGTCTAAGTACACAGTATTTTGAAATGAAATGGTAGCCATAGAGAATATTATATGACTGAGGCTATAACACCATAACCAATTAGAGAGTTTGGGAAAGGTTTGGTTGTGGACAGGGAAAGTAAGTGGGAGCTTGAGCCCTGGGCTGCAGTTCTCTTCCCTGTTAAAAAAGTCTTTGCCTGGGGTATTTGAAAGGTTTGTTCCAATCCTACCCTTTGAATCAGGGTGCTCAGAAGAATTAGTGCTGACCTCCAGAACTCTCAAACCCCTTAAAAACCAATGCTCCTTGCGACTTGTGTCAGACAAGGGGCTTCCTATTTGAAGATCTGTGCTCACCTGCTGTCATGAAGAAAGACATCTCAGTCCACATACTCAAATGACCCATGGGCAGGGAAATGTGAAACAAACAAAAAAATCACCAATGGAGCTCTGAAATCTCAGCAGAGTTGGGAGCACAATATGAGCTTATTATTAGCAGTAGCAATCAGGAACTCTATGGGGGAAGCCATTATAATTTTCTCTTTGCAAAGATGTGTTAGAGTCCACAGCTCACTGACATTAAATGACTTGTATAAAGTTACAGGGTTGTAGATAGAAGTGGAGAACAGAGGTTTCCTGGCTTTGTGTACCAAAATCCTATCCAAAACCTTGTAGAATTGAAGTTAATGGGGAGGGAAATGAGAAGTGATTAAGAAACAGAGAAACTAGAAGGGGAAAAAAAAACCCGTCATTATAGTTGGGGGTGTATGTGCAAAAGGAAACATGTAATCATCTCAATTTGAGGGGCCTCAATGTGTGGGCACACACAACACACTGGGAGAAAGGAAATGGAAGACTGGGTTCCCTGGTCAAAGGAGTGAGCAGTGTAACTGTGGAAATAGGACACATATAATGGATGTACATAATAACACAAGTAACATAAGTACAAAATATATATCTAAGTGATGACAGCTGTATGAGGAGCCCGGAGGTATGCAAGAGAGAAGAAGGGAGGTAATTGGAAAAGTGTGTGTGGGTAGAAAGATGATTAATAGAAAGCAGCAGTATTTGCATGTACCTGGGAAAGGCAGTGGCTGCTGAGGCAGATTGAAGGCAGCTCCCTGGGGCCAACACAGAGGCCTCCACAGGGCTCCAAATTTCTAGGACTGGAGAAAGTAGAGCATGAAATTTCCTCCCAGGCACAGTCTGCTTGGAATGAGAAGAGGTTAAATAAGTGAAAAGTCCTTTGTAATATATGAGAAGAAAGGAAAAGACAAGCAAAGGGATGGCTCAAAACCGCATGTACATGGGAGCACAGTTGTGAAAACAATTGTGTCAAGAGTTTATTTCCTTAGCTTCACTACTTGCTACTTTGCAAAGCATGTTGTTGGCATATCTTTTAGCTTCCAACTTGAGAAAAACGTTTGTGAAGCTCAAAAGATTGCAAATGTGCAAAATAAGATTCTTATTCAACAAACAAAACCTTACTGTTGGAAGCTGAGAGATTTGGAATATGGTTGATAGATACAAATTAATGGGGAAAACAATCCAACAACATATCTGTGCTGGCTGTACTTCCTGTAACATAGAAGTTCTACTTGCACCTGAGAGAGGACAGGAAGCTCTCACATACTCTCCTACTTCCTTTTCTTTTTTGTCCGGTTAGATATGTGCCTTGCTAAGCATGGAACCTTTGTTTCTTCTAAAGATGTGGCCCTTCACCTCAATACAGGTTCATTCACATTGGGGCCCACTAAACAGACAGTGGCTTGGCATGGCTGATGAGGCCCTTCATGTGACACACAGTAGTCAGGGACAGAGACCTTTTGGTTTCTGTAGTGTGCTTGCAGCGAATCAGAGCTTTCAATATATTCAGTTGGGATTAGCATGTCAGAGATTGATGCCTTGGAAGGAAGGCAAAACACACGTCTTTCCAGGAGAGGCAACGCAATGGACGGCATGAGTGATGAAGCACTGGGCTGTGTGCTACACACATCTACCTCACTTCTGGGTGTAGACCTAAGGTGACAAAATCTGTACTCACTTGCATCATAACCTGCTTGAGTTCTGGAGCATAACAGTATAGCCTGATGAATTGGCACCAGGATGGACCAGAAATTGATGTTCCACATTCCCAGATATTCCTGATCCCTTTAAAACTAATGACTTAGAGTGACTGCATAGGAGTAGAGGTAATTTACTGTAAGAAGCCATCTTTATCAAATTGTTGGCATCCTGGATAACATACTCCCTGTTGTGGTTTGTGTCTAGATGTCCCCCCAAAGGCTCTTGCAATCTTAGATGGGGCTTTTCAGAGGGGATTAAGTTTGTGATTGATTCAAAATCCAATGCTGAGAGTAAGAGTGTGAGTATAAGGGACAGAATGAGGACCGTCCCTTCTCTTCCCCTCACATTGCTTTTGCTGTCTTCATCTCCATGAATGGTTGCCCATTTGCCATGTGCCACCTGGCCTTGGAGCCAGCCGATTATGGACTGAAACCTCTACAAACTGTGGGCCAAATAAATCTTATCGCCTTTAACGTTGGACATTGTGTGTTTTATCTCAGCAATGAAAAAAATAATGAAATAAGAACAAAAAGCCAGAGATAGGAACATAAAATGAAAGACTAACAATACAACTGCCATATCACATGATACAACTTAAAATGGAAATGTTGAGAGGAAAAAAAGCTGGGAGTGGTAAAACAAGGCTACAAGGAAACAATACTTGCAATAACACAATTAAAATCTGCAAGGGGCGTAAACAGCACAACTGACAGGGTAGAATTTAAATCAGTAACATAGAGGATAAGACTAGAAATTCTCCCAGATGATAGAGCAAAGGAAGAAAAAAAGATGTTTTAAAATTAGAGAAAAGACAGTGGGTAAGAAAGTCCTGTTTGGAGAATAGAAGAAAACATCTAGGAACCACAGATCCTTTGTTAAAAAAAAAAAAAAAAACTAGCATAGTTATTTATAATATAGTAGTGATAATCCAAATCAAGATGAAAAAAAATTTGGAGAAAAATAATTCCTGAATTTTCGGATATAAAAGACTCTAGTTCAGTCAAAAATTGTTGTAAAAAAATCCTCATAAAACTGTGAATTACAAGGCTAAGTGAATAAATTGGCATGAACCTAGCCAGAAAAGTATATCTACAAATGAGCAAAGTCAGACAAGATTTCAGCTTTTTCCCACAACTGTACATGCCAGAAAAATAACGATGCTGTGATTACAAGATTTTCAGGGGAAAATCTGTAAACCCAAAATATTGTAGTCATTGCTTTTCATCTGTTAAAGCAATAGAAGCACATTTTCACACAAAGACAGTTTCCAAAAATATACTTTCGATGCACAGAAGTTCCCTTGAGGTGTCACTTGCGATGTTGCATACCTAGTGGCAAGACTTGGGAGGCCAAGACGGGAGGATCGCAAGTTGAATTCCTGTCTGAGCTGAAGACCCTATTTCAAAAAAAAAAAAAAAAAAAAAAAAAAAAGAATAAAATTTTAAAATTAATAGATATAAATGTAGTGTGAAGTTCCCGAATTCAAACTGTAGTACCAATAAACAAAAAAGGAAACACAAATTTGTGTTTTTGTCTTAGTTTTAATTTGAGAAAAAGCTTTTTCTAAAGTCACCTTTTCTTTTAGTGCCTTGTCTCAGATGAGTATGTGTCCTTAGGGAGATGAGTAAGTTACTTGAGCCCAAAGCATGGATTTGGTTATTTTATGTAGAGTTACTTTGTAAGTAGGTTCTTGTGAACTCATGGAGAAGCAGATACCAATTCGGCAGCAAAGGATGCAGTGGCGAAATGTCCATGAAAGGTGGAGGGGACAGGACAAGAGAAGGCAGAGAGAACCTTCAGACCGCGCTGTGATCTGACATCTGCGAGGGGGAAGGAAGGAGAGCTGAGGAGGAGCAGTTCCAGACGACAGAGCTGTTCTGAGAAAGTCTTGGCTGGGCGCACAGGGCTTCCCTGAACACAGCTGTAGAGGTTTCCCTCTGTGGCAGGAAAAGCCCCGGCTCCTGTTCCTCTGTTCCAGGTGCTGGCTGTTAGCAGCCCAGCGAGTCCGCACCCTCAGCACCAAGGACCCTGTGAATCTGCAGCTGAGGCTGCTGCCATGAGTTCAAGACCAATATGAACTACATTTCAAGACTCTGGATCGAAAGACAAAGCAAGAAAACAAACAAAATTTAAATAATTGTTGTAAATATAACTATAAATATAAATGTCAACAATAATTCTTAACAATTCTAAAACCTTTAAAATGGAACTCAGATATTACAGTAGAGATAGATGGTAAATGTCAAAGTAAACAGACACTCTCGGAGGCAAAAGCAAATAAAAATATAAGTTTTTAAATAGTGTGATTAGTTTTCACAGAGAAATAATAGGAAATACTGTGTCTATAATAGGGTATAATGTTAAAAAGAACAGGCAAAGCTCTTGGGGGAACCCCCCCCAAAAAAACCCTGAAATTAAGAAATCAATAGAAGAATTGAATAGAGTTAATGAAATCTCCCAGAAAGCAGATTCAAAAGAGGAGATGGAAAATAGTAGATATATGCATGTATTAAAAACTACAGTGAAACCCAATATTCTGCATAATCAGATTGGCCTAATAAAAACATAAGAATAAAAAATAAGATCAAATAAATAGATAAAGATAATTGCAAAAGTGCAACTAATAGGAATTCTGGAAATAGAGAACATAGCAAACATAGGGTTGAAACAGCCAGAGATATAAGAAAAGGACTGTTTCTAGAACTTCCAGGTACCAGTCTTTAGGTCAGATGGCCCATGTAATAAGTGCAGAAAAGATGGACACTCAGGCTATCACAGTGAAATTTCAGAACAGCACGATACAAGATATCCCGGGACTTTCGAAAAAGCCAAAGCAGGCCACATAAACTATCATAACTGGAGACAGAGTGGTGGCAGACTGGGCCAGAAGTAGTGACACTGGAGACTTGGCAAAAATGAAGCAAGCTCCTTTTTAGGTGGAGGAAGCATAATTTTAACCGTATAATCCTTTGCCCATTTCTGGTTTCATTTCCTTCTTTGTCATTTTCTATCCCTGTCTGTTGTACTGTTTCTTCCTGTGAGTTTAGGAACTGTAGAAGATTATTGCTGACATTGATATCTCAATATACATTTACATCCATTATATAGTTTACTCCATTTCAACATTTTCAATTCCCCCGCCAGTCTTTAAGCTTTGATTTCCTTCTATGTCAGTAGGATGAAAATAGACTCCTGATACTTTCAAATATGACAAAACTAAAAAAAAAAATATAGCCTCTTGCATGCTTTCTCAGGAAGTTTTCATAAGAGAATATGGTCTACTATTAAGGAAGTAATAAATTTGTATTTAATAGTGCTCCTAACAAAACCCAAACAAACTGGACACTGATTTAGTTCCATTCCTGTTAGGGTGGAGGTATGGAGAAGATGACTTAGCTCAGTATTCTCAGCCCTAGAAGTACATGAGAATAACCTGGGATTTAAAAACAAAAAACAAATGTCTGGGTCTCTATACTGAACTCCAAGACAATTAAATTAGAAGAATCTTGAAGCTAAAGTTTGCACAATATTCTCAACAGTGCAGGTATATTAAAATGATTCAGGGTTTTAAAAAGAAAAGAAAAGAAAACAAAACAAAACAAAAAAACTGACCTTGGTCCAGACTGAACCAATGATGTTGGAACCTCTCAGTCTGCTGGCTGGGGCCTGCAGCCCTGTCCAGCTGATTCTGCTCTCCAGTATCTAATAGGAACATGGAGGCACATAAGGGGATTTGCTATAAAAATGTGGTCTGCAGGTCAGCATCATCTGGAAGGTTGTTAGAACTTAGCTTCTTAAGCCCCGCTCCAGACACCCTGGATTAGAATCTCCATTTTAGCAAGATGCTGAGAGAATTTGAAGGCACCTTAAAATTTGAAGTTTTACTGATGAAAGGAAAAGTTAGAAAAAAGTTTCACACGTGCCTTGTTAAAATATCCCATGATCATTAACTGCTATGTCAACTTAAGTAAGAAATGCCTGACTGATTGGATTAGCATATTTCTGGGTGTGGCTGGTGTCTACTGAAGACCCATCTGTTTGCCAGGAGCACTAACCAATAGGCTTATAGCATGAAAGGAATAAAAAGGGAGAGGGAAGAAAAAAGTCACCTTTTTGTTCCTTCAGAGAAGCTTCAGTTTTCAACTTCATCTGGCTTCCGGCACAGACTTTTTAGCCTCCTGATACAAACTTGCACGGTACTTCCTCTACAGATGGGTTCTAATCCTTCAGCTTTTGACTGAATCCTTTGTACTCTTCCACAACTGCCTCTGTAGGTGCATACTTATTGTAAGCTATCTCTCTCTGTTTCTCTTTCTTTCTCTCTCTCTCTCTCTCTCATTTTCTATCTCAAAGCTAGAAGAGATCTTAGTTGCTTCATATAGAGACCCCAGTTTCCCTAAAGGAATCAGGTAGTACAGTGAAAGAGTCAGGCAGGTCTGCAGCCCAACAGATGATGAGAGCCTTAGACTCTGAAAGAAGTAGGAGAAAGCAAGAGTATGGAGGTCTGAGGGGAAGAGCACGTAGTCCTGCTTGAGAGGGAATCTAATTTGGCTCCAGCTGCAGTTCTGCCATAGTCATAAATTGGCCCTGGCTGCTGTCAAAATCTCTTGTTCTGATGGTTGATCTTCACCTTGACTGGCTTAAGAGACCCAGATACCTGGCGAAGCATTATCTTTAGGTATGTTTGTGGAGGTATTTTCAGAGGAGATTCATTTGAGTAAGTGGACTCAGTAAGAAGATCTGCTTTCCCTTAATGTGAGCAGGCAACAGTCCATCTGTTTAGGACCTGGATACAACAAAAAAGCAGAGACAGGGTGAATTTCCTGTCTCTGCTGGAGCTAGCACATTGATTCTCTCTTTCGCAATCATGCCTTTCAGAGTCTGAGACTTGTATCTGCATGAACATGGGGTCTGAGACCTTCTGCTTCAAACTGAGGTTCTCAGACTGTTGGACTCAGTTATATCACCAGCTTCTCTGTTTCTCCATCTTGCTGAAGCCTATCATGGGACTTCTCGACCAATACAAGCAGGTGAATTGATTTACATAAGCTTTTATATATCTATACATATCCTATTGGTTCTATTTCCCTGGAAGACATTGACTAATAGGCAAAACAATAGCACAGGGCAGATTACAACTGCCTAAGGCCACTATCTGAAATGACCTTCATATTACAGAAAAAGAGATTGATTTTGGTTTTCCTGTCCTTGAGTCTTAGAGTGCCTCCAGTTTAAGTATCACTTTAATTTCCCCTTCTACCTTAGGTAATGGGCCCCTGGAGCCACCGCAGGTAGAACTCACTAGGGGTGAATGGCAGCTGAGGAAGTATTTCTCTGGAAAGACAATGAAAATGCTTGGATTCTATGTCCAGACGTGTTAAGTATTTTGTAAGCCCTGTGTAATTTAACAGAAGGGAAAGCCAAACTCTCAGTGGATATTTCCTTCTACACCAGATTTGTTTTGGGAGTCTGGGACAGGTGACAGTGATAGCACTAAGCTTGTTTTCCCAATTGAAGTCAAAACATTTGCTAAGGAATCCCATAAATTGACCAGATGAAAGTAACTAGGGAAGAAATAGGAGAAAAGTGAAGTGACCGTATACCTCTGAGTGAGAATTAGAGAAAAGCGCACTGTAAATGTTGGGGAGAGACAGGCAGAGGTCAGCAATGTTTGGGCAGCTAGTTATTTAACAGTCAGCACCCGTTTGTTTTTCAGCAGATATTTATTAATCACCTACTGTGCGGATAGCACAGTGAACAAGACTGGTTAAATTCCTGCTCTCATGGCACTCACCCCGCTTCTCACCCACACATCCTGCATCACTGCTTCTTAATGCCATTTCAGTGTCTCATGTTTACAACAGAACCAACATTCTTATTTTTAATCCATGTTTACAATTTCATATTCGCTATCATGGACCTCTAGGAAATCTTGATAAGATTTTGGTCTCTTTAGAACCTTGAAAAATTCAGAGACGCTAATATCATCATCATCTTCCAGATTCACACATCCTGTATGGTGGAAAGTATGCTCTTTCGTGAGCAGTGTTATTTTAGGTTCTATACCCAGGAAAGTTAGAAGGTATCAAGAAATTTATTGTCTTACTCCTTTACTTTGAGTGGAGTTGTCAGGTGCTTCACTCTAAATTTCTTTTACAATTTCTAAATATAACTAAGGAATCTTCTCAGCATAGTAGTCTTTTGCAATCGTTGAGCTATGTCTGTACTGGAGGTCTTGTTTTGCAATATCCCAGGGAGGCCACATTCACACAATAAAAATCATCTTAAATACAGAAGCATTTTAGCCTGTTAGAAAGGACAACAGAATCCCATCAAATTATTACTGGTTTGTGTGAATCTTTGTTCATTTTCTGTATCAAGAAAGAACATGAACAGAAACGATAGTTTGTGACTGCTGAAACGTCTCTATAAATTTCCATTGTTTACATTTGTAGAGGTAAGTTTCTCTAGACAATGCTATTACTTATGATTTCATGGGTAAATATCTGCATGCATATGGAGCAACAGTAAATTACTTAAATAATTCACTCACTTTGCAATAATAATAGATGTGGTTATTTTTTCTTGGAATTCACTTTATTTTTTCCTTAGTATTTCTAGTTCATTTAAATTACTTTAAACCAGAGTGCCAATAACTAAATTTTACCCTGTCTGCTTAATCTAGTATACCCACAAATCCCAAAATGTCTGCTAAATAAGGACTCATGGTGTCGGCACGTTGCTTCTCTTAGGGGTTGAGGTCTTGAGGTTGTTTGGAATTCATTCTTTATGTGCTGCCATTGCCTTACAAGGGAAACCAGTGCAGGCCTTTGCATTGCATGCGCCACGTCCAATCCTGTGCTTTCTCATCCACAGCATTGCTCATTCCCTCCTGGAACTCTGCCCACTCCCATCCAGCCCTGTACCTAGCTTCTTTCTTGTTTCCTTTAAGGCTTTCTTTTATAGATATTTTTCCAAAGAGATGCTACCACTGCTTTATTGGAGAACAGAGATTTGGGTCCAACTCATAGAACATAGAGGACAATGCTGGTTTACCAGCATTGACAAGAAGAACCACAGACTCAGGGCCTTCTGGGGCCTGTTTACTAAGACAGACAACTAAGGTTCTAGATTTTGACTTTATCTTTATGCTAGTGATGGATTAGTCCTTCTCATTAAGCAGAAGGAAGCTCAAAATTTCTGGACAT